TATGAACACACATACAAAGTGAAAGCTTTCTCTTTCTATTACTGCTAGACATGCAATAAGCTTTTCGCGCACTCATACAAGTGCGCACTTCATAAGCTTGTGCTTTAGAACACATACGTTAAGTATTATAAATGAGATTCCACTTTAAAAATGCTTTCTCTACATCACTGCATTTTTTTGACAATCATCTGATATTAACCTAAAAATATTTCTCATTTTTTTTTATGATAATTTTTACATATTTTATTGTTTCTATATGTATGTTTAAATATTTATGTAGCTGCGCGCAAAAATTTCTTGGTGGGTTGGCGCACTTTTTATTTTTCTAATTCTGAAGCTTCGTTATTTTTCATTCCTCGCTCTGCTTTCACATTATAAATTCGACTTTCATTCTAATTTCTCCGCTTACTTCATTCTTCAAAAGTCACTGATTTCACCCTCAGTCTCCGGATAGGTGCAGGTGAACGGATTCATTAGCCAATTGCACAGCCCCTTGTCTTGGCGCTTGTTCTTCTTCACCATAGTTATGCGATTGTGAGGCTCTTTCGAGAGACCTGACGTAAAGCTGCTCTCGTCGCTATCTCTCGCTGTCGCTACGCTATGGTAGCCGCTTTCGGCGCGACGTGAAATACCCGAATGTTTGGAAGTACGTGGTGTTGATGAATCGTGTCCGCTGTCGTAGGCCTCGCAGGTGGTATTTAGTGGTAGTAGTGGTAACTGTGTTTGGGAGGTCGCTGGCATGGCAGCGCCGCCAACGCCCGGTAGATGCTCCTTTTCGAGTGAGGGTCGCTTCGAGGGTGATAGTAACGCCGATTTTTCATCTACTTCGCAGATATCCTCGTGTTCCAACACGAAAGGTTTCTCCACTCTTGACAAATTCGGATCGGAAGCACCATCAGGATGACGTAGGGAGGCGTATTGCTCCACGCCGGCAATTTGCATGATGCCATTCAGGTTGGGCAAGCTGCCTTGGCTGGGGCTGCGCGAGGGTTGTCTGAGTGAGGGAGGGTAGAGGGGAAGAAATGGATTTTCTCAGTTAGTTAACACTTAGTAGCAAGCTTTAAGTAGTTTTACATATTTGTTTTTGGGTTTGTTTTACTTAAAGGCAATTAAGAATCGATTAGAGAATGGAATGCGGGGAAAAGACATAAACGGGCTTTAAAATTCTCGGTATGCGAAGCTGAACTAAAAACTTTGCTTAAAGGTAGTAACCCTTAAAATATATTTGGTTAGAATTTTACCTCAAAACTGCAAGATTTATATTTGGTTTTTACTGACTTTTAGTATTCTAAAGTTTCTTATTAACCTTAGGTAATTTGAGTCTACATATTTCTTTTTTGCATGCTTTTGTTAAAATTACGCTCTTTGAAAAGTTGTAAAATATTCCATTTATTTGGATATATTTCTCAAGTAGCACAAAAGTCAAAAATACACAAAAATATTTTGTGTATTTTTTACATCGGCGTGATATACATTTTCAATATAAAAAATACGCTATTTCTAAGCGCAGTTTTTGAACAGTTTATTTCGATTCAGTGTAAAGGTTATGCCGCTTTTTCGTGCATTATTTACACCTACCGTCAATTTTTTTTACTGATTTTCGGCATATATATTATGCCAGTGGTATACAAGTTTTCTTGTTACTAGAACATAGTATAAACTCCGTTGGTTTAAAATACGTATTGGTATTGGCTCAAATCATACACCATAATGGTAAAGAATTTACATCATATTCTAGCATAAATATATGTTCATGAGTGTGAAGAGTATAAAAGGATTCGAGGAATAAAATTTACTACTAATCAAATTTAAAATTAACTCAGACATAAAATTTACACCGAAGCTCTTTTTTAATCTGCGCGACTTGGAATTCTTTTTATAAATCTCAGCATTCCTTTTCGTAATATGCAGGCAAGAAAATCGCGAATATATATGAATGTGAGTTCCTAATTTAAAAACGAGGTACATTCTGTCGAGTGAATTTCGGTACTACCCCCTCTAAAATTCGAGCGCCTCAAAATTTATAAGGATTTGAAGATTTTGAAATAAATCTGGAAAAACTTATATTTTATTAAGAGATGCGCTGTTTAAAAAAGGTCGAAAATACACATAAAGTGGCATAGTTGAGCCAATGTACATTATTAAATTGTTAAATTAGTTAAATAATAGTCATACAGCTTTAATATGGCGTCCAGCTGAGTTTCAGTATTAGGCTAAGTTTACAACCTAACGTATTGGCGTAGCGAGAATACATAAAAAACGCTTCTAACCAACATTTACACAGTCTTTGGTGTTTATCGCTGTGCAAGCAAATAAAAATTATGCAGTTTGTTAAAAAAAAAAGCTTTTTCTCATACTTAAAGCCCAAATAAATAAAAAATATACATATGTACATATTTATATAATAAATTAAACATCTCTTCTACTGCTATTATATACAATACAATATGCTTAAGTTTCGGTATAAATTGTCAAAGGGTTGTGGAAACAAAAAAAATATATTAGAGGCATCCCTACGTAGCAATGTATCACACGTTTTGTTGCTTTCCCAATAACAAAATATGTGCTAGATTGGTACTTAGCAACTTTAAATCTAAAATGCTACTCATCGTAAACTCCCCTATTATAAAAAATTAGTCGTGTACATATATGTAATACTTCTATATTGGCAGTAAGCTAACTTCTCAATGTGTAAGCATTCCGAAATCAAAGCGAGACTTTCTAGTACGGTTTTTGTCAATGTATTGTGTACTTGGGTGCCGTTTTTGTATATGTGTTGTGTACATGTTTATTTATAAACGTATGTGTTCCTTTTCTTTCGTACGTGTTTATTCATATATCTGTACTGTAGTGTTTTCGGACGGTACTAGCTCTTACTGCCAATATAGGAGTATTACATATATGGTCGTGTATAATTTTGCTGCAATTTAAACACTAGCTACGTTTTAATCGCCAGCGATTATGCTGGCGAAGAAGTTTCTTTGGATTGAGCGATTTCCATTGCATCGCGTAACGCTATTACTCTAGGTTGTGAACTTAGCCTTACTTTTATAATACTTTCAAAATATGGTCGTCGTTGAAAACTTACACCGATTCTTGAATTTGGTACAAAAATATTTACCAAGCCAAGAACGGTGTATTTATTTTGCCCTAGACACAATTCAGTTTGAGAATTTGTTATAAAAAATGTTTCTTGTCAAATGAACACAGTTGACAGAAGTTTAAGCGCCTACCACACGTCCATTATTCGAACGCAAACGCGAACGTATACATTTCAACATGTTTTGTTAACGTTCGCGTACGAAAAGAAGAAATCAAATCAGCGTTCGCCTATGTTATGTAGAAAAAATTGTCGCTGTTGTTCGTACTCATATATACTATGCAACTTATAACTGCATTTGTGAAGGCATGATGTTGAATCATTAGTACCCAAGCAAACTTTAAGCGTGTAGGGGCGCCTTATTGATGCATATTTCACTACTGGTGTATTAAATATACCAACCAGTGTTACCACTCGACAATATTTTTAGGAACAAAAAATCCTACCGAATCAGTTTCCAAACTACCAATTTTTTTTAATCATCAGATATTGATATTTTATTTCGTTTCTGATTTTACTTCATGTAAAAGTATGAATCTTTGATATTAATTCAATTTATATCAATTATTTTATGTCTAAAATGTAAAAAAAATACAATCGATATAAACATTTTTTATTTGGTAACAAAAAAATGTATTACTGTGCTCGCGCAATTTTATTTTTATTTATTTGTTTTCATTTAACCATGATGCAAAAAAATTACGGAATATCAGCAACATAATCTTAATATTTCGGTACGAGTTTTAGGCCATTTTAGCACGCTTTCAGTACGCTTTTCTACTTTCACATCACCATTGTACTACCGCGATTCGACAAAATTTATTTAAAATTTTTACAAATGTTCTAATAAACGAATACTATGCAACAACAGCTCAATGCATTTTTGACATTTCGAACAGCCCTGAAATGAAACTACCAATTTATCAAAACGGCAACACTGATAGCAGCTCTACTTGCGGTATGTATAATAAGCTCATATTAAAACAGACAGTGTATTATGTACACACACTAGCTTTGTTTCTTTACTTTCCTAGCAGATCATTATCAGGAAGAAGAATGGGAAGAATTACAGAATTACGCTCACAGCGAGTGAAATATAGAAAAAGTCAAGAAACGCAAACTAGCAGAAACTAGCTAGTAAACACCTGACCGATGCTTTTGACAACTGAACATATGTATTTGCTGCGAATTTTTAATCGCATTTTATGTTTAAAAATTGTTCACAAATACTCAGGTTTTGCCACACTTTATCAAATTTAATAAATCGCCCATTTTTATCAAAAAATACAAAAATATGTAAAAGAAGCAAATCAAAGTAGCTGTGCCTAATCTCTCTAATGTTGGAGCCACAGCTGAATTTTTCACCGCATATCGTGAAAATTATGTGTTTCTTGTAATTTGCTTTTGTAATTTTTTACTTATATTCGGCTAACACTACCTTGTGTAAATGCGGCTATCTGTAAAGAAACAAAGCTACTGTGTGGTGTATTCAATATTTATTTTTTGGTGAATTCTTTGGTCCACTGTCAATTGCTCTCAGAATTTGTGATGTGCTGAGTCGCTACTTTTAAGTATTGATCGATACTCGGTACCGATTTAAAAAGTATCAAATACTTTCGATGCTCGGTACCGAAATCTTAAAATTTCTAATAAGAGCGCGCAACAGCCAAAAATATGAGTTATATGTACACATACATATAGTGTCAGCTATTAAAAATAAATAATATTGCCACCAGAACTATTGCAATTGGAAAGACGGTTGCGATAAGTAAAAGAAGGCGAGAGTGTGTTTTGCGACATCAGTATCAGGGCGAATCTAATAAGGTGGTGTTACCGACGTATCTGAATTTTTCGCCGTGGAGGACATTACATCAAAATTACGTGTTTGTTGTAGTTCATACTAATGACAGTATGAATACCTGCGTATAATTTGTAAGTGTAATTTTTTACTTATATACGGCTAACACCACCTTATTAAATTCGCCTTGATCATTATTGTGCAGATTTCACATTTCATTGGATTCCCAAACAATATTTTAACCTTTAACTAGCCAAAGATGTAGTTCAAGATGCCCCTATAATAGAATCTTAAGTAAAATATAAAACAATTTCAAAGGAAACTGATTTTCTTTTTTTAAATTCAAAGTCAAATGATCTAAAGTGACTTAAGCTACTTGAATTGAATGGCACAGATATAATGACGAAAGTTTAGTGTGTCGAATCGGTATCGGGTACCGAAAAGAAAGTATTGGGTACCGAAATTTTTTTCAAGTATTGGGTACCGAGAATTCAGCACATCACTACTCAGAATGTCGCCTGAATAATTTTAATGACATTTGTTAACGTGGAGCTATTTGTGAACCAAATGAGAGAAGTGGCGCATTTTAGGAGCTGGTGTAGTTTTCGTACTAATCTCAATGAATAAATAGTACCAAAATGTTAAAGGTAGAAATTTGATTTGAAAGAAATACTGGTGGAATAACAAATACACCAAAACGTTCTTTTTTTATTCAATCTAATCAGATTTGTACCAAAATCCATAAATTTACACCAATTTATACACCAGTGTGCTACTTGAGTTAACACTAATGCAAATTCTTTTTATATTAGCGTTGCCACCTATCCTTGCCCAAAAAAAATACATATATTTAAAAATTTCTTTTACGTGTTTCTTTCGACATTCAATTGCCAACATCTATTTACTTAATTTGAGTGATATATTTAGTTTTACTTTTATTAAACAGTTGGCAACTCTATTTAGAAAAATTTCCGAAACATTTGCTGCACCAAATACCAGTTGTTCGATGTGCAAATTGTTATATTTAATGTAAAAATAGTTTTGTAATTTTAGTAATAATAGTAATTTTTCCATTTTACTAAGTATGTACCCACCTCGGACTTGATGGCCTATATGGCGGCTCACTGCACACGCTACCCGGTCCCGTATTGAAACGATAGGCGGGTTCACTATAGACGCTACCCACATCGCAGCCGTTGCGGAAGACGGGCGTCACTTCGGCCATGGCCAGTTGTGAGGTGAAGATCTCACGTAGACGCGCTAATTGATCGAATTGGTTTCTAAACGGAAGAAAAAAAAACATCACAAATATTATATACGGGAAGCCTTTCCCCAGCTTACCTCATTCTTTCACCCATCGAACAATCGCTAAACGCATCGCCGGCCATATTGAAGCTCGACACAATGGACATGTTGTCAACGTGACTTAGTGCCGCCAAAGGATGCTCGCTAAAATGAAACAATGAAGAAAAAGGAGCAGAAGAAAAATATTAATTTTTGATACGAGTATAACAGCTAGTTTTCATTCGCTATATTTCCGCTACTCACCCGCCCATTGTGCGCGCTATCTCCTCCTCTGTCACCTGCAGTCCACAATCGGACATGCTGTGTTGGCAGTAGTGATGCGATGACTGCCTCGAGGGCGCACTATGTTGCAGTTCCTCTTGTCGTCGCAATTCCTGTTGTTGTTGCTCACGTTGTTGCTGCTGGTAGAGTGATTCTCGCGAAACATGTCGCGATAGTATGCGATGCAGACTTTCGTGCGAAATTTCAAGCGAACCCAACGGCACGATGAGCGGCAACGCTGGCGGCACCTCCGACGGTCCGCTGTCCTGGTCCTCATCACAGTCTGCTTGCCGATCGCTTTGGTGTCCACTCGCACTGGCACCCACGCCAACGCTATGCTCCGATATCGTTGCCGTCGACTTGCCACCTCCGACGAGTATCTGCTGTGAAATTATGCCATAACCGGTGTGTGAATGCGTCGATTGTAAATCAGTATCATCTTTTGTGGTCGTCTGCTGGGTGAGTTGATGATACGCTGGCTGGGAGCCACGTATCTCCGCGGGCGCCGAGGCGTTAGTTGTGCTTACAGCTGTGGAAAGACCCATGGCAATGGCATGTGCCAGCTCCGCTTCGCTGGCGCATAACATGAATTGCTGCTGTTCGAGGGGTACCGAATGTTGTTGCTGCAACGTTGGATGTTGCACAGCATGTTGTTGGTGTTGCAATTGTCTGGTGCTCCTCGCATACAAATCCTCTGGTGCATCGAGCGACTTCTGCTTCAGCTGTGACATGTGGAAGGTAATGTTGCGCAGATGGTGCGCTTGTTGGTCGCGATGTGCGGCATTGCCGGCGCCGTGTGTGGGCGAAGACGCTGCCGATGTGGTTTGGAAGACTTGCGAAGTCTGATTCTCTACCCACTGCCGTATCATAGACTTCTTGTGCGAGTCCATGAAGCCGTAGCCTTGCACCTGCGAGGGTGCTGTAGGCAGATTGCCGGCGGTCAGTGAACGTGTCGACTGCGATTGGGGGCCATCAATCCATGTCTCGCACTGTTTCACATGATTCACTTCGCGCAGCAGATGACGCGCCTCAGCTACCTTGGCGCGCGACACACGCGGCCCATCAATCCACTGCTCTTCGCTTATCTTGCGCATCGGACTGCCGGGGCAGTCTAGGGAGTCGCCAGCGGCGGCGGACACAACATTGGCGCCGACGCCTCGACGCCGCAGCGGTGAGCCTTTAGGTGATGGCACATTCGAACCCTTCGAGCACATCATGCCTGCCATGCCGGAATGGCGCAAACTGCCCGCAACTATTTTGGGTGAGGAGGCTGAGTGCGAAAGTGATTTCACGCTGTGAACGGGTGAGAAGAACTGTTGCTGCTGCTGCTGGTCGGCATTGACCGCAGTCGCTTGAGGCTGTTGTTGTTGTTGTACATGTTGGGCTGGCGTTGGACTATTGACGTGACCGCGTTTTAGGCTGCCTGCGCGACTAGACGCATTTATGGTGGGACTTTGTGGCACTGCTTTAAGACAATGAGTAGAGGAAGGAAAATGGGTGAAATACAGAAAAAGGCATAAGACGAATATAAAAGAGTGAAGTGAAATTAAATGGGTGAACACAGCTCTAACTGCGCGCTTACCTTTTTGTGCTGCTGACTTCTTCAGCGTGCTGGCTGCACTACTTTTCGCCGGCGACTGTTGCTGCTTTTCCAGGCCGCTGCCCTTCAGCGCCTTGCTCATCACACAACGATTGTCACCACTACTCAGCGAGGGCAAATACACTGGCGGATGTTCGCCATCCGTCGCATCGTCACTCGGTCCCATGTAAATGACGGTATCTGCGGACAGCTCCGAGCTGGAAGGATCTGCGCCCGAACCAGCCGATGAGCCAGTCGATTGATGTCCTAAGTGCGCAAAAAAAAGTGAAAATAGTCAGAAAATAGTGGAGAGTTTGAAATAGCAAACGAAAAAAAGGTAGCTAAGCTAGCGCAAATGCTGTTACAGTATTCCCGCTTAATTGACCCCGGTTAATTAATTTTGGACAATTTTTTTTTTCAAATTTGTGGAATTTGAGGAAAACTTGTTTCGTGTTTGTTTTTGAGGTTACGAACTTTAAGTTTTAATCAGATATTATAAATTCAAAATGGCCTACTCAATTTCACTTGCAAAAAAAAAAAATACGGCATCCCTTTAAAATTCGCTCCTTAGATGTTTTTGAGATTGGAGATTACGAAAATGATGTTAGACTTTAAAAATTCAAAATGGCCTACATAGTATGGAGTCTGAATATTTTTTTAAACCACTGAATCTCAACAGAGTTCATTATTAAAAAAAAATAATTGTTGTATTGCCGAATGTAGGTGTCATCGAAAAATATAAAATAAATAATATAAAAAAAAACTTTTTAATATACAACGCTTTTATAAATGGACTAAAAAGAAGAAAATAATATTTCTCAGTCCCATAGAATTTGTTTTGATAACTTTTGATTTTGAAATTTTAGCAAAAGTCGTTATAAACAACTTATGAGATTGAAAATGAAAAGCGTGGGGCGCATGCAATACAAAGCATTATATTTAATTGACAATAGGCAAACTACATAACATAGACCTAAAATTTTTTCAGCGAAAGTACAAATTTGAGATCGATTTTAAGCGGTCGTTATTCATATATCCATATACATATGAACATATATTACCCTTCATATCAATACAGGTGGCTATTATATGCGCCCCACGCTTTTCATTTTCAATCTCATAAGTTGTTTATAACGACTTTTGCTAAAATTTCAAAATCAAAAGTTTTCAAAACAAATTCTATGGGACTGAGAAATATTATTTTCTACTTTTTAGTCCATTTATAAAAGCGTTGTATATTAAAAAGTTGTTTTTTTATATTATTTATTTTCTACTTTTTTGTCTTGTCTGTATAAAATTTTGCGATAGATATTAAAATAATTCAACGATATTAATAGAAAGGTGCACACACATGCATTTACATATGTATGTACATACAAACGAGCACCAATTAATTTTATTTAAAGAAATGGCGTGTCGTCTATTTCCGCTGTAGCGAACGTAGTACATAGGGCGACATCTAGATGTCATCTACCTCGCCCTATTCACTACAGATGTCGCCCTATGCATTAGACTTTTTATAGGAACTTTTAAAGAAATGGCGTGTCGTATATTTCCGCTGTAGCGAGCGTAATACATAGGGCGACATCTAGATGTCATCTACCTCGCCCTATTCACTACACATGTCGCCCTATGCACTAGACTTTTTTATAGGAACTTTGCAAAGCAAAGGTTTTATGGTGTCGGACACACAACATTGAAAGTTTCTGGATCCACAACATTGAAAGTTTCTGGAGCCACAACATTGCAAGTTGATAAAAGTGTTGTAAAAAGGCGACCCTTAGGTTCCACAAAAAAAAAAATTATAAATTGCCTTTCAAAAATTCTTTGGACTCGGGGTTGTACGGCAAACCTTTTTGTTTGTTGCTTATAAGTTGGTAAGGTCTGGTGTACTGCAACCAGCGAGCGTTACATATATATACCACAGCTTCATCAAAAAAACCATAGCCTAGCAGGGAGACACATTTGTATGTATAAAGTGATGGTTCATATACTCTGCCGACATAAAAGTGCATCTGGGTCGACACTTTAACTCCAGTGATTTGCGCATTTATCTCCACAAGCCACTGGTTAATCACTCTTCAAAAGTAATGCAATACGCAAAGTACTTACCTCCATTAACGCCCGCCGCCGCCAATCCTCCTACGCCCGTTTTGTCACTTGGCATGGGAAAACGATGTTTACGTCGTCGCATTCGATGTATGCGTGAGGCCAGTTGTATCGTCGTCAGGGCATCCGTGTGCGACTAAATATACAAACAAAGAATACAAGAAGAAAAGAGCAAATGCAAAAAGGAACAGTAACAACAACCACATTAGTAAAAAATTTAAATTGAAAGTCATTTGTCATTCTCATAGTGACACAAAATGCCGGGCATCAGACGAGTGCGATTTTATGAATATGCAATAAATTGACCAACCACTCAGTCAAGCGTTGCCGTCGATATGTTTGCAAGTACGTATGTGTGCACATCGTCATTGAATGAAGAATAGCAGTCAAAGCCATTATGGAATTGTTGTCCAATTAAGCCTAGAAACAACAATGACTGTTGTGAATGTTGAGCTGAAGTGCAGCTCGAAAATACCGCTTAAGAGCATGGCAATTACCCAGCCACGAGCCCCTTATTACATATTCACACTCGCAATGACATACATCTTCAATAAATACCACTCCCGTTAACTCACCTGCGTGTGCATTACATGCGCCATTATGGCGACATGACACGTCAACGGCGCCAGACAATCTTTCAACAGCGGCGTCAATGAATGATCCTTGTTCGGCGGATGGCGTTGTCCACTCAATATGGCCAATAGTATGTTGCCAATGCCGGAGAGTGGCAGTCCACCATTGCGGTTGGCACAGCAACCCAAATCGATGAGATGTAAACGACTTCGTCCTCCAGCCACTGTGCGAATTGTGTGCATTCGAATGAAAATAAGTGCATTAAAATTTTAGCATGAAATGTCTACAGTGCTGTGTGCTTAGTGTGTGTGTGTGAGTCTGCATTGGTATTGCATTATTGGAATTCCAATTACTTTATCGTGAGTTTATTGAGCAGTTTTGTGTCCGAATAAGTACTCACCTCCTCCTTTGCGCGATAAACTGTACTGGTAGACGTGTAGTGTGAAAATCATGGCTGGCTCAAGTCCACCTTGTGGCCGTCCTGCGAGTGCAGCGTCTAGGAACAATGCGGCACGTTCAGCGGTGGGGGCACGTAGTTCGGTCGGTCCGCCAAGGAAGTCATCACGCAAGTACACGCCTGGCGAGTCATCAGATTCTGTTGTGTAAATTTGTGAGGGTATTTGGAGAAGAAGAAAGAAAAAACGAGAATGAAGTCAAAGAATTATGGAGAAGTGGCATTAAAAAGAGGATATGTTTAAAGGCCAGTAAATAAATAAAGAAATTTGTGGAATGCGAATGGAAAACTCTATTACTCATCTGCAAAACCCTGACTTTCAGGTATTGGTAGACAGCGTAAAACCGGTAACAAGTGCTCTGATCAATGTGACTCATATATCCATGGGCTAAACGAAAGAATATGCAACAGGATTCAAAGAAACTGAACCTCAGTTATCGTTCACCGGATTACTGCAGCGATTTTCAGCCGGAGCTAAAACCAATATATCAAAGCTGCCACCCTTCCAGAATGGTAAATCTCTATATATATAGCTGCTATTAAGCCTCCAAACTCCCATGGAGCAACATGCAAAGTTGACTGCATTTCCGATGAGCTGGCTAGGAAAGGGACGGAATGATTCGTGGCCAATAATCTTCAAGACTAGGGCATACTCATGCCCTCCTAAAATACAGATTAAAGACTGAACTCATCGGGGGGATAAATACCCGGTGGTCCATGGAACAAACCTGTCAAACAAATTCGGAAAAAAGTTGGCATAAAAGCATCTAAAACTCTCATTCGGTTTGACCGCTCCTCTCTAAGGCAATATCTCCACACAGCATTATTGGGCTCATTATGATTTTATATAGACTGTCGACTAGTTAAGGAGAAAGATAGAATCTTCTTGCCAATATCGCTTCTTCTACAGCGCAGGGAACAATTTAAAGCTCTACTTCTAAGAAATGATCACAATATTTGAATTCCAGGTGACCTTTCATCCCACTATCAGCAAGTAATGTGAACAAGTATCGAGTTTCAGATTTGTAACTTTTTTTTTTTCAATGAACCTTCTATGTATGTACTGGTAAAAAAGCTTAGATGTTGCATACTTTGAAGATGTCCTTTAACTCGAAAAACTTAAGTTTGAAACAACCCTAATGTCGTTGCAAGCCAAAATGACAGCAGTAGACTTAACATCTCACCTTGCATTTTAAAACTTTAAACAACTCCACTAATCTTACTCACCAGTCGCATGCGCCGCCAACAAGTCCTTCGAGCTGGAGTCCGGTTTCGTGGCGCTGACACCGAGCGCACTCACGCGCACCGAAAACCGCGCGCCACTCTTCTGGCGTCGCTCATTAATACCCTTGTACAGCCAGGAAATGGCGCAAGGGATAGCACCTAATTCGGTGGGCGGATTCACGCCACCCAACATCGTTTTCGGTTGACCTGCGAAATAAAAAAAAAAAACGTAAAAAACGAAAGAAAAACGGAGCGAAAGCGTTAAAGACAATGCAGAGCCATATGGCGCTAGGAAAAGTAAGAAAAATGTGCGATAAGCATGCGGAGATTACGATTAATGTAAAATTTATTGCACATTTCCCATAGGAAATAAATAAAAAAAAAGAAAAGAGTGTGATAAGACAACAAAAAACGAAACTTACCGGAATTCGGATAACCAATCGTTAGTAGACAACCGTCGGAACCTTCTAGCACGGCGGGTATCACCTCAGACAAGGCAGACGCACAGATATCGGACTGCGAGCGGAACAAAAAATAGGAGAGACACAGAGAGCAGGTGAAGGAAAAGTTTTAAATAATGACTTGAAATGCAAACTTGCCGCGCGAACGCTGATAAATTGTAACTTTAAGAAGCTTTCGCATTGATAAGCGCCCACTCCACTCCACTCCACTCCACTCACCTGTTGATCCTCTGCCGTGAAGAGGCTATCGAAAGCGAACATTTTCGGCGCCGCCACCATGGGACCACGCTCCTGCGAAGTGGATGCGGCCACTGCGCTCGCCGCCGACGGATCTGTCAGCGTCACTTGACGTTTCTTCTTATCGACCGCCATGAAATGCGGGTGTTCCGTGTCGTTGTGCGTTGTGTCCGAGACACGCAACATTACCTTAACCTGTAAAAGTGGGAGTTGGGAAACAAATATTTCTTTTTTTTTTACGTAAAATAACCAAAAAAAAACGGCAAGGTAAATCACGTGTGCGACCAACAGTTGCGGTAGTTAATTTGCCGCATATGACTAATGCACACAACTACTTAAAAGGGAAGTACTTTATTCATTTCACTTATGATTTGCAGCTGGTCAAGTGCATGGAGTAGTAGCGCTGATTGTGATCTTAATTGCTGCGGATTCCAATTTAAATTAGATTTATGCTCGACTCCAGGCAAAGGGAAATCCACCGCTACGACAATCGCTAAAAATATCTAGCAATTTTGTTGACAGACCAAGATTATTAGCGGTAAATCGTAGACGGTAATTGGATCGCGTCACGCAATACCTAACTTTGTAATTCTATATGAGTTGGTACTTTATATACATACATAAAACATATACATTTACATAGCATACATGAGCCACCAACTTTTCTCGGTGGAGAGTGGTTGTGTATTGCAAAATATAATTTTGTTCTACTCACCTTGCTGATGCCGTAGTTTTCCTTGTTCGCAAGCCTTCGCGCCAGCCCCGGTGGCATGGGTGGTGGCGCTCGCTGTAGCGCTCCACAAAATCCACCATTTCGTGTGCTGGCATTTGGCAGTTCGGCGGTGCGACTTTTGCTGGAATTGTGTGTTTGTGCAAGTTTCTGTGCGGCTCTGTAAAAGGAAAATGATGTCAAAATTTGTTGTAGTAAACCGTTTTAAATTTTTTAAGCATTACAAATTCAAAATTCTGCAAAGAATTATTTCACAGATATCGCCCGACAAATCTCTTTTGCGTTTAGGAAGCGAAAATAGCAAAGAGGTCAAAGAAATTTACAAATTTATCCCGGTCTATCTGCCAGCATTACATCGCTCCAGATTAATGAACAACAGCTAATTTAATTTTTTAAATTAAAAGTAAGGAATAAATAGTGGTATAGCTTTTTTCGAAATTTTAAACAGAATCAGCTCCTGTTGTATAATTGATTTTTATTATTTCAAGGAAGAAATAGGCGGTTTGTTTGCGATTTTTATTGAATGTTTTCTAGGTATTTTCAAAAAGTTTTCTGATTTTTCTCTATTTTTTAGAGATTTCCCGCGATTTTTTAGGACTATTCGAAATTTTTCAGTGCTTATTGGACTTTTGGACCTGTCTCTGCAATATATTTTCGCATATCTTAAATCTCTTCTTTTTGAATTTCTATCGGCCCAATTCAAAATACTCCTAAGGAGTTTGTTCTCCAGGAATTAGTTTCTCCCGAGAAAGGAATCCTCCAATAATTAACTCCCAGGGAGTAGCATTTTCCCCGAAAATTTGGGATGAGGAAATTCGAGCTTCGAGAGAGTTTTCTTGACAGCTGAACTCCGCCATTTAAAATAAAAAATCCTCAAGGAATTTTTATTCATGATAGTAGGAAAGGGAAAAGAGAAAAACTCCCGGGGAGTTTCTGTTCAGAATCGGTCTGTATGTTATCAAGGCAAAAACAATCAATAGTTGCTTTTTTATAAAATACATACTCAAGGCTTTTTTAGGCTTAAAAGAAATATGTAATAGTCACAGTAGGCAAAATAAGAGAATACGAAGGACCTGGAAGCATTCTTAGCGCAAAAAAATACCAATTAATTAATGAAGTTTAATTTGATTTTTCAAATGCGTGGCAACCTTTCGTCCATTTCGATTGATACCCATATTTTTATAATATATTTCAATTATTAAATAATTTGAGTTTAACTTTTTAAAACAGTGGCAACTCTCAACAAATACTTCGAAAATATTCAAGACGTTCAAACTAAAGATCTCTTACCACTATTTCGTTTGACACACTTATTTTAATATTTCATATAACTGTGCATAATTTGTTTTGATTCGACAGGTGACAACGCTCTTCAAAATATTTCGAAAGTAAAACTTTTAAACTAATTCCGTCTGAACCCAAATTGCGATATGTGTACATCTCAACAACCTTGTTGCCTTGGTTTTAATTTATCTAGATTTTTTAAACAGGTGGCAACCCTCCTTAATGCAGTTAAGAAATAAAACCTTTTCAAAAACATTTCGATCGATACACATATTATAATGATAGATTTAGCTTATAAATAGTTTGAATTTAATTTTTCTCTCTACAGGCCAAGCCCTTTAATATGACACCTCAGTTTTGAAAATCGAAAGATAGATCTGAGGACATTAACAAAAAACACCTTCGCGAATTATATGAGTACTTTTCGGCATATCTTAATCTCAAACTCGATCTTAATCTTAATCTTAATGGTGACCAACCAACTTTCTTTTGTCGCTTTTTAATTTGGAATTAAAGCCCAACGAGTGTGTCGCTTTTTCGTTACATCGATGTTTGCATTTTACTCCAAAAAGAGGTTGAGTAGAAATGGTTAGAAAATTAAGTCGAAAAGGACTAGGAGTAGCCTAATTTGGTGGGAATTACGATCTGACCCCGAGTCAATTGGATTTCAATGTACACTGGTGAAAATATAAATAGGGCAGAGACATTTAGTATTCTTTGACTATTTCAATTTCGTTTACTACTTTTTATACCCGAGCGCACTTGTGCACAAGGGTATATTAATTTTGTTCAC